TTTTAAAAATCGTTATTGGATTTAACTGTTGCAATTTTCGCGTTCAACATTTAATTTAAATATTTTGAACTAATTCATTACCTTTTCAGGAGTTACTACTTTCCATTTCATCTTTTTTTCCGAAGTGCCTAAATAAGTGCCTACCGGTAACAATTTATTATTTCTAAATTCCAGTACTAGACTCAAGTGCATCTATTGGATATTCACCCAGGCTAATCAGTGTGGGTAATATGTTTATGTCTCTGTCTTTGATTAGTGATAATTGCCATTTTATTTATTTTTCGAAGTGCCTAAATATGTGCCTAGCATATGTGGTGACCAAGCGCGTGCGACTGCCTTTAATACTACGTTTTAAATATTGTTATTGAGTTTGCCCGTTGCAATTTGCGTTTTCAACATTTAATTTGACCATTTTTAACTAATTAATAATGTTTTGAAAGGTATTACGCCCTTTTTACTTTTTTTTCTAAAGTGCCTAAATAAGTGCCTAAAAAAGTGCCTAATTTGCAAGTGCCTACTTTTAGTCCGTCCCTCCTGTCTATACCAAAGCGTATATATAATACAAGCGAGGCAACGCTCTGACAATGGACGCCATATTGTGCCTATTGTTCTCGGACATATAACACGGCGCCTTATGGGAAGTTCTCACACAATTATTGAAACATACCTAATATTTTCATTAATATTTTAGATAGAAAGATTTTGAAGGTCGCATTTTGAAGTAGAAGCTTAGGCGAACATGATGATATACTTTCATGTTTGCTAAATTGCATTTATAGTACATTAAATTGTCTTTAAATACAAGTATGCCGGTTTCGAGTTGCTTCCGAAGTAAGTTGGCCATTCTCATCGTCATAATTGGCCATTTGACAATAGCGTTTTTTGTGATGTCACAGATGGACAGTTGTATTTATTCGTCGAAATAATCTCGGGACTCAAATTCGCTTCAATGGCCGTTTCCATTTTCGGGTCAACATTTTTCGCCTGTCAAGCTCCATAATGCCCGCCTGCTCAGCTCCGAGCTGCGCTAGAAGACCAAATGACATTGTAGGATTGTTGCGGTGGCATTATACTTCGTCAAATCGGCGTATCACTCTAAAAGTTTCCAGAAAGATGACCAAAAATGGTTCTACGTTGTGTTTGTGGCCAAATTTAACGCATTAGATAGTTTTTTATTTTTAATTGCGTTATATATTTAAGTAGCATATAGCTTAAAGTTCAAAATCCACCCTTCGGCTTTATTCTAGCCCTTATAACAGCTGACTTATTGGATTCGGTACAACAACACGACGAAAATTTCCCATAAGACTCCATTGTTTCGCGTTTTCCCAAGATGGCGTCCATGAACCTGTTTTACATTAGGCAAGTTGGTTACCGGCCCTTGGTCTATACCAAACTAATTCATTACTTATTACGATGACTGTTTTTATTTTTGTTGACTGGAAAATTAATCTTTAAAAAATTAATGCATTATTCGCTATTTGATTAAGGTTTTAAATCTAACCTAAAATAGCTGAGTAAGTCTAACATTCCAATATCTGCTGTCAACTTCAACCATCTGTTCTACCAGCAAAAAGTCGATCAACAACTATATTTGCTGTTTACCTCAACATCAAATTTTACCAGCAAAAAGTTTAACAACAACAACATGGCTTCATTAAGCAACATCACAAAGCCAAAGCCTAAACAACGTTTAAGTAGGAGTCTGCCAGATCCTGGTTTATCACCAATTGGTCCCTTCACTCAAGATCCTGCAAACTTTCAGCTAGTGCTGCAGGAGGCGATTCAAAATAACATCGTAAATCAGCTTCCAAATCTGATAGCGACATGTCTTGCGGATAATTTTAGCTCGGCCAACTTCTCCTCCGAATATTTTCCTCTAAGCCCAGGATTGAAAGAGTGTATGCAAGAGCAAATGACATCTCTAAAAGAAATTAAACAAGATATCGCTTCGATCCGAGAATCCCAAAATTTTCAATCCGAGAAATACGACGAGATTTTGGTCAAACAAAAAAAAACAGAAGATATACTCACACAATATGGTAAAAGAATACGAGATCTTGAAGACCTCGTTTATGATCTCGAAGAAGAGCTATTCAATGCCACAGAAAAAATAGAGGAACATGAACGGCGTTCAAGACTAGACAACCTGGAATTTCACGGCATTGCTCCTAAAGTAAATGAGGACACAGACAATCTAGTTATAGAAATTGGCAAGATGATTAATGTCGACATAAAACCTTCTGACATTTCTATTACCCATCGCTGTCCGACTCGCAACTCCAAAATTTACAAGCCCATAGTAGCAAAATTTACTAACCGAAAAATTCGTGCCAAAATCCTAAAGAATCGCCACCTCATTGAACTTCTGTCAACTCAACATCTATAAGAAACATATCAAAAGTATTTATTGTTGAAAACTTGACTGACAGAAATAAGAACCTGTTCTACCAAGCAAAAGTTCGTAAAAATCAGTGTGGCTATGCTTTCCTATGGACTTCTAATGGAAAAGTGTTGATTAAAAAGAATAAAGACACCAACACCTTGCCCATTGATGATGATGAAGATTTAAATAAAATAAGATGAGTCATATCTTCTTTATAACTCTTTTTTTATTTTTTACATGACATCCATTATTCTTCCATGAACCACCCAAATCACTCTGTAACATGTTTTATTAATACCTGTAGTATGATTTGTGACCCATTTAGCACTTGTAGTGTGACTTATGCCATCCTTTGCTCCATATGCTATGTATTTTACCTCCCTATAACAGTCTCCATGATGGTGTTTAAGATCCCCAGCGCAAAAATTCTAATCGAACAACCTCATCGGTCCAAAAACTAACTTCGAATCACAACTCGCAGTGGGATTCAGAAAGATTTCATCCGCATTTTGCTTCAATCCCATGTCGGTACATTGAAATACCGGATATCAATAAAGTAACATCTAGTTTTCTACCCTCAGATCTCACTATTTTACATTTTAATATTAGATCCTTGGGTAAATATGTTGATGACCTAGCTGAACTAATTACTAATTTTTATTCCCTGCCACAAATTCTTGCGTTGAGCGAAATCAGGATAAAGAGGGACGCCGCTGTTAATAACGTTGACATCCCTGGTTACACCTTCATCCATGCTCCATCCCCAACTCAAGCAGGTGGTGTGGGGTTCTATATTAAAAATGACATGAATTTTCAAATAACGCAAGAATTTGACTTTGTTTTCGAGAACTGTGAGAACATGTAGATCGAGTTGAAATGCTCTGAACAAAATCCAAAATTCCAATGCCTTGTTATCGGTGTTATCTACAAGCATCCCCAGCGTAATATTCCATCCTTCACTGGAGCGATGTATTCTGTATTCGAAAAGCTGACATTAGCCAAAAAGCAATTCATAATTTTGGGTGACTTTAATATAAACCTCCTCAACACCCTCGATACTCCAACCTCCAAATACTTGGATATGCTGATGTCCAATTTTGTATTCCCAATCATCACTAGACCAACAAGAGTTACTTCATCCTCCCACACCTTAATAGATCACATTTATACCAACACCTTAAAATCATGCTCATCATCATTTATTATAATTAGTGATCTCACCGATCATTTTCCTATTATGTGTACTTTATCAACAACTAGTGCTCAAGTCCAAACAAACACACGCATGAAGCGTGACATGGCAAATTTTTCTGCCGACACATTCAGATTGGAAGTTGAGATGATGTGTAGAAATTATGCCAGTGGTATATTATCCAAAGAAAATTTTAATAGTTCATTTGACCTCTTTCTTAGCCATTTTAAGTGGTTGATAAATAAGCACGCACCATTACGCCCTCTGTCACGCAGAGAAAATAAATTGTATTCCAAGCCCTGGATAACCAGTGGAATTCGCAAGTCCATCAAACACAAAAACGCCATGTTCAGAATAATGTTTCTGAACGGAAACGCATCGCAGCGTCATTACTTTAAAAAATATAAGAATATTTTAACACACTTGCTAAGAAAATCGAAACAGCAGTACTACCACAATATTCTAGTCAACAACAGAGGAGACGTCAAACGCACATGGCAAACCATCAATGAGATTATAAAAATTAAGACAAGAGAGGTCCCCACCGTCTCAGAATTAAAATTGGAAAATGGTACTACTGTGACAGACCCCGTCTATGTGGCCACTGAATTCAACAAATTCTTCTCTTCTATAGGGAAAAAACTCGCAGATGAAATCCCACATAGTACCAAATCAAATGCTGAATTCTTGGGTGTCCCTTCACAGAACTCTTTTTTTCTTGAGTCAACATCACCTTCAGAAGTTCTCTGTGTAATCAGGGACCTGAAAAAGGGTAAAGCGGTTGGACCGGATGGTATTTCCTCTTATTTTTTGAAATTAGTTGCTGATATCATATCACCAGCTTTGAGTAATTTCTTCAATTCGTCATTCAATTTAGGTATATTTCCTTCTTCATTAAAACTTGCTAGAGTTATACCAATTTTTAAATGCGGGAAAAAAAACAACCCTTCAAATTATAGACCAATCTCTATTTTATCTTCAATTAGCATCATAATGGAAAAGTTGTTGTATACCAGAATGATGAGCTATTGTACTAAATTCAGTTTGATAAACAAATGTCAATTTGGATTCCAGACCAAACACTCCACCAGTCATGCTATCCTTGATCTGACATCATTTATATATGATAAAATAGACAAAGGCGAGTATGTTTGTTGTGCCTTCCTAGATCTAAAAAAGGCTTTTGATACCGTAGACCACTCCATTCTCATTCACAAGTTAAGACATTACGGTTTTAGGGGTAATGCAGGAAAACTGTTATCCGATTACCTGACAGGCCGGTATCAATTTGTTGAAATAGGTCCCCATAGATCCCCAATGTTACCCATCCACTGCGGAATTGTTCAGGGCTCAGTAGTTGGCCCATTAGCGTTCTTATGTTTCATAAACGACCTTTCCAACAGCTCGAATCTTTTGAGCAAACTATTTGCAGATGATGCATGCTTGCTCACCAGCGCGAAGGATCCGACTACACTTCAGCTAAATATGAACACTGAAATAAATAAAATTTATGAATGGATGTTATGCAACAAGCTAACAGTGAATATAGATAAGTCAAAAGTCATGGTGTTCAGTTCAAAATCTCACACTAGATACCCCAACCTCGCAATTGGAATCAATGGCAGAAATTTAGAAGTAGTCCAGTCTTATAAATATCTAGGACTCAATATCGACCACCAATTAAAGTGGAACACCCACACTGCTGATTTGCATAGAAAACTATCAAGAACGGTAGGGATCCTGGGTAAGCTTAGATATTACTTACAGGATACCACACTAAGAACCATTTACTTCGCACTTTTTCAGGCCCACATTCAGTATGCCATAGCGGCATGGGGTTCTACAGCTAAAGTAAACATGCGTAAATTGGAAGTCTTACAAAATAGGGCCATTAGAATCCTTTCTTGGGCACCTTTACGTTCCAATTTAAACAATCTATATTATAAGCATAGAGTACTAAAATTACATGACATCTACAAACTAGAAACTTCTAAGATTATGCACCAATTCCAAAACAATCAATTGCCAGCGGCTTTCGACCAGTATTTTCTCACCCTAACTTCAGTGCATAAATATAACACCCGCTCCTCAACAAAGAGTAATTTTTTTGTGCCCCGCTTCTCACTAAGCAAATCCCAAAATTCTTTGAAATATCAAGGTGTTTCAATTTGGAACAGACTACCCCAAGACCTACGTGAGGCATCTTACATGACTTTCAAATTTAATTATAAAAAATTCCTGATTTCCTCTTACCAACCCACCTGAATTTTCCAAGTCGCTGTTTCATATTTTATCCTTGCTTTGTGTCCATCAAGGTCATATTCAACTCGATCCACAGCCTGCCTGTAATGAAGAGACCTGTTTATTTGCTGTTAAATGCTTGTTGTATTTTATATATTGCAATGTTACTGTGGAATCATCATAATTCATCCCTATTCTTGTTATACTCTATATATATTGATGTGCGCAATCTTGTAGAATTTTTGAACTGCTTTATTTATTGCCAGTTTTCTTACCTCCAATCTAACTCAGATTTCCGTGGTCACACACAAGTGCCTATCTTTGAGTTAACGCCTATAAACAACTATCTCTTAATACTACAAGCGTTAACTCGTATTATTGTTATTTATTAAGTGCAGCTTTATTTAACTAATATAGCATGATACCTTACCGGTACTATAGTGGTTCTCATCATCCTATTTGTATATTTCTAGTGCATTTTGTTGCCTCATGGGCTTTTGTACTGGATCTATCCTATGATTAATAGCTTAGCATTTACCAGAAAAATGCTTACCTTTTACTGCTTTTTTGCCCATTTTTGTCACATTTTCATGTTTACATCTGCCTCCACCTTCGGTAGAGACCTACGATTTTATATTTAAAAATCACTCAAATTCTGAGTGTTACTGAATTCACTTATACTTTCCGGCGGTCTCTACCCTCCTATGCCGTACTTCGGTACGGCGTCAAAATATAACACTATTTCCGCATCGATTGGAATAATTAACTCGACTTTATCTTTCTGTTTGTTATTCAATAACCAACTGCTGTTACCATGGCTACCTCGACCAGTGGTGTCGGGAGTCACATTCTCATATTAACTAGAGTGACACCGTGATATCGGTCACTAAAATGTGTAAAAAGGCCGTCTTCGACTTTATTATTTTATTTATTATTCACGACTTTTGCTAGTATCCTGTTTGACTTTTTTCTCACTATGATTTAATTTTTTAGACTCACTCCCCCAGGGTGACGCTGCTCGATAACCTCTTCTGGTTTATCGCGCCTCCCTTCACACTGAAAGTATTGTTTTATATGTGATTCGTAGTTATTTTTGTCTATTGTGTACTTTTGGTATGTGATAAAATAAACTACTGACTGACTGACTGACTCTCTCTTCTCGTACTGTATAATCGCGTAAAAATCTGGCATCACTAAATTGTACCGTAATTTGCGTCTCGTGCTTTCTCGCTATTGCTACGATCGGCTCACGCTAAAGGTTACGAGCCAGGTAAACGTAAATCCTTCGAAATTGAAAGCATAAAACATGGATAAGGGACTAGGAATCGATGGGGAAATAGTTGGACAACAAGTAAAAAAGAAAATCGAAGAACTTAAAAAACAACAAGAAGCCAAAAAAGGTTTTCTATTTGAAATAATTCATTCATTACCGGTACCGGTAACTTTCTGACGTTCAGACGTTAGGATAGGATAGGATTTACATATTTATCCCGGGGGAGAGGAAAGCCGATAAGACGGCTTATCCATATGGCAAACCACGGCCTCTCGTCCGGTTACCATTCCAAGTCGGGTATGGAATTAGTTTTACTGTATTGTTTGTATTTGGAAGCATGGACTTGGTGGTCTGGTGGTGGAGGAAGCCGTAACCGACCAGCGGTTACGTGAACCACCCAACGACGGCGAGAAGTCCAGCAATCCTCTCGCACATAACCATCCCTGCATGGGATTCGAACCTGCGAACCCACGCAGAGTAGTTAGAGGTGCGGTGGCGAACGTATTCCTAACGCTTAGCCCGTTGAGCCACACCGCCTAGGCATAGACTACCGGTACGGTACCGTAAAAGCGCCTAACTTCGGACAGTTCCTAACTTCGGACAAAATTTTTGAACGGCCATATCTTGGCTAAAACGCGCCGTATATTGCTAATTTTAATTATAATAGGTTGCGCTGTTATATCTACATCTATTCTCATCTTTTTTAATGTTGCATAATTATTTTTTTTGTGAAAAAACGGAAATTTTGCCGAAAATCGACTGCCCGGCATTCAACGGCGCAGAGCGTCGCTCCTACTGAAGCTATCATCGTCAAAATACCATCATTCGGTAGAGGGCGACAACAATGTATATAATTTATTTGAGTGATCGCAAGATGTCGTACGAGATTTGAATAAAACCTAAAATTCTGAATTATAAATTCCGTAAGAATATTAAGATTTCACGCAGCGTCAAAATTACGTCAACCTCACGTAGATTATTTTTCGCTCACTTCCGACACGACGTCACACTGCGTCGCGGAAATGAATTTTGACGCCAGACATAACGGAGCCAATATGACAATTTCCGTTAAGATAAAGACGGCATTCCAATGTAATATTTTTGTATTTTGTTCGGTCGTGTATGAATATATGCCAAAATTACATTAATGAAAATACATGTCACACTTAATCGATGCCGTTAAAAATCGAATATATAAAACTATGATAATTCCAACGTCCATATGGCACAGTGCACTGACTTAACCATTATTTTATGATTAGTAGTCGAAATGACAGTTATTGAATACGGCCTGGGTGAATTTTATTCACTCGAAATTAAAAATAAATTTAATCTCTAACAAATAAACGGACCTACATGTTTACAAGATTAAGTTGAATTTTAAATTGAACTTTACAATCGGATTTACCGTGTGTCTGATATAAATTATCATTTATAAAGATAGCCGCGCAGAATAAAAAAAAGCTATCCGTCGAGAATATTAATACTTCAAAGACTTCGATAGAAGCCCGTTAAAATACTTCATTGTGGATTGAAACGGTTTGCATCATATATATTTACGTACGCATTTCCTGATTAAAATGACTAACATGTTATTATACTCATCTGAAGTATCGAAAATAACGAACGAAAGATGTAAACATAGGACGACGGAAGTTTCAAATAATGCATTTTCGTCGTGACGTCAATGTTACGTTACGAAGACGATGGAGCGTCTTATCTTCACGCAACGACGTGATTACATCATCCGCATCGGAAGCCTCTTTCTCTCTGTGCGTCGCGGTTACGCAGTGAGGAAAATGACTGTCCGAAGTTAGGGCAGTGAAGGATAACGGTCAGATGGCAAGAAATATCGATTATTTCAATAGTAAAAATAGTCCAATTGAACCGAAATTTGCAGGGAATGTAAATTACCGCACGAATGTTTTACCGAGCAATTTTGGCACCGTTTGGACAATAAATGGCCGAGTTATTGACGAAAATATAGTAATTTTGTCCGAAGTTAGGCGCTTTTACGGTACCTATCTCTGGTAAAAAAGCAAACATTTAGCAATGGGATTAATCATGTCTAATTACACTTCATCTTTTCCCGCATTTTGTTTTGACTGTATCCAGAATATATCTCAATTGCTCTTCTTAGTGATCCTAAAACCCACTGACCAATCAACCAATGTTCGAGTTTAGTTAACTTTAGATAATTAATCTAATAATCAACCAATATTCGAGTCTGGTATAGTTTAGTACCACATGCACTTCTAGTTGGCCTGGCTCAACAATTTTTGCATATGTCATTCCTAACCCCCTTCTGACTATGTCACCAAAAAATTACGTCATTTGGACGTCACAGTGGCGTAATAAGGCCCACCAAAGTATGCGGATGATTGTCCAAAACGCGCAGACAATCACCCGAAATCGAGAAAGCTATTTCTCTCATTTTCTCGTCGCAACAATCCCGATATGAGAGAGACCGCTGGCGATAGGAATCGTATGCTACGCCCACCGGAAGTACTTGTGGTAATAAACTATACCCCAATATTCATAGTTTGTAATTTGATTTTCCTACTCTATAATTTCTCTGTGTGAAATAATTTTAGTTGAGGGAACACGTACCACTTCTTGCGAAAACATTCCATACAATATTCTGTCCGTTTAAAACCATGTCAAAGGTTTTGATTGCTCTCCTGATTTTCATAATCAGTTTTTATTTATTTGTTTTGTTTTTATCAATCATTTTATTTCTTGTTATTCTGATTATGGAGTCGAAATAAACTTGAACTTAATAAAGTTTTGAGACAAATGAACAAATGTTCATAAAAAAATTTTTTTCAAAAATGTTCGAGAATATATGTTACATTTTCTCATATATTCTTGAAAACAGGGACACCTTATGGATTAAAGCCTTTAACACGCTAAATAATTTGAGCATTTTCAAAAATGGGATTTTTCACTTTTTATCTGGTTGATTTTTTATTTATAATTTCATTCTCTTCTACAGCTGCACAACAGAAAGCACCAACGCCAGTAAAGGTAAAATTTTATTAATTGCTATTCTTTTTTTTTCTCTCCTCTAAATTTATTTTGTAGCATGATTGTATGTATGCAGTATGTGTGAGTGTTTTAATTAACTTACTACTTTTGGGTGAGCGCGAACTCATACCACTTCATTGGACAACATCTTTCAATCTAACATATGTACATTGGTTTTTGTTCGCTTTCCTGATTCTGTAAACAGTTTTATTTATTTTATTTTTTATCGTTATCGTTATTATGGAGTCAAAATAAACTTATACTATCAAAAACATGCTAAAACCGTCAAAAACTTTGCAAAAACAGGGAAAAACCACCAGAAACCTAACAAAAATGTGCATATTCGTGAAAAGCTGTTCAAAAACTTTAAAAAACCATCAGACTTGTATGCCCAATCGCCTGGTAGTTACTATATTGACTTTTTTTCAAGTAATTATTAACAAACTAAAAAATTCTTCAATCATTCTATTTTAGAAACCCGCTGTAACTTCAACGACGACCAATGTAAAAGGTGAGAACAAATTTTCATGTCTGAATAGTTTATCATTCTAGAATTCTAATTTGTGTTTACGAAAATCCAAAATATCATGTTTGTAAAATCTTTTTGGGGATAAATTTCACTAGCATGGTAATCAGGATGAATTCTATGAATGAAAAAATGAAATTAGTGAATTAGGTTCAATACTCGGGGTTAATTTCTGTAACAGTCAGTGTTATAATTAATTCACTTTTATTTTTACTTTTATCAACTAATTCCCAGTTGCTGTCAATATAACTCTCTGTATTTGGAACTGTCATTAGCCCTTTCGCATAATTTTCGCACCAGTTGAACCGAATTAATTTATGTCACATTTTAATAGGGTTTATATAATAGTTTGGTTTCAATAGCCCCAAACTTAAAAATGGCCATCACTATCTAAAAGAGTGGTTCTCAAACCTTTTAGGCCACTACCCCTTTTTAAAATTTGTCAAGTCTCTCACCCCAACTTAAAAATAACTAGCGCAGCGGTGTGGCTCAACGGGCTAAGCGTTAGGAATACGCTCGCCACCGCACCTCTAATTACTCTGCGTGGGTTCGCAGGTTCGAGTACCATGCAAGGATGGTTATGTGCGAGAGGATTGCTAGACTCCTCGCCGTCGTTGGGTGGTTCACGTAACCGCTGGTCGGTTACGGCTTCCTCCACCACCAAGTCCATGCTTCCGAAAACAAACAATCGCCATATGGATAAGCCGTCTTATCGGCTTTCCTCCCCCCCCCAGGATAAATATGTAAATCCTATCCTATCCTAACTAGAAGCTACGAATAACAGACAGTAAGGCGAAAGTATGTTTTGATTAAAAAACACGTGGAAAATATGTGGATGGAAGTGATGGAACGTAAATATCCAAAATAAAGAAATTTAAATATCCAAAATAAAGAAATTTGAATATCCAAAATAAACTGGGCATGATCAAATCTAAAAAATATTTTTTTTTAGTTAGCTTCATACCCCCTCAAAAAATTGTTCATGCGCCCCCTTGTGGGGAACGCCACAACTTTTGAGAACCATTAATCTAAAATCAAAACCAAACAGGCACAGACTTGAAACCCATGGTCTCTGGTTGGTCCATAACGATGAAAGATATAAAGTCCATTTCTGTATAATTTGGTATTGGCTTCTTTTCTTTCACTGTGGCGATATGTTGTACTGACATTGTTTCATATTTTTTCAGAAGAGCCGCCGGTAGACCCAGCGACATTGAACAATCCAATCAAATGTGACATCTGCGACGAAAGTTTAGAAAATTTAAAAGGTGCCTCCGATCATTTCAATGGAAAGGTGCACAGACGTAGAATGGAATTGCATTTCATGGAGAGATATGGTGAGTGAGCTTAAATTAATGTACTGGCAAAGTGATTCTCAACCTTTTATGGGTCGTGGCCCCCTTCCGGAGGCTTTTAGCACTCATGGCCCCCTGTTTATTATTTCAGTGGTATTTATAGTGTTAATTTAATTGGTAGATTCCAAACCCCATTATGTTCTAACAATTCAGGCTCAACCAAATGAAATAATCCTGTGAAATAACCTTATCAATCGATAGAACTAGGAAGAACGGGGGAGTTTTCGGACCTCCTGAAGTATGCGCACCAGGATGGCGCACAACCTGAACTCGGGTTGTATACCAGATTAGGGTTCAGGTTGTGCGACATCTTGGTGCACATACTTCAGGAGTACCGAGTTTTCCTATAAAATGAAACTGCTTCTTCAACTGCTCTGTTGCCTCTTTGAAGGGCTAGGGGCCTCCTGTTGGGAATGCCTTAGAAGCGGTATAATAAACTCCACTTGCGGTGCCTTATCTTGGATGCAAAAAAGTTCGTTAGACATTGCCAAATCAAAAAGATTCAGGTCCTTATGATGGCTGTCCCTACAAATGGTTTAATATTAGTGACTGATAATAAACAACTCAAAGAAACCAATGACCTATATATTGTAACGTTTTAGACATGATCAAGAAGGAGATATAGTGAGTCATGTTATTTTCCACATGAAATTGCCCCAATTTAGAATGTATTCAATATTTAAAAATATTTTTTCAGAATGTATTCAGAATAGTAAAATATTCAATTTTGACCATTCATGATTCTAAATCTTATTTCTTCTTGTTTTTCAGTCAAAACAGACAAATGCAGTCTCTGTGGCACAAATCTGACTTCTCTATCCCAAATCTACGATCATTATAACGGCTATGAGCATGCTTCAAAGCTTGTAGCATCAAAGCCAAACCGGGCACCTAATGCCAATGTAGGGAGTCCCGCTGGGAGAGGGAGGGGGAATTCCCTAGGAGGGGGTGCAAATTCTTCACGTGGAGGGGCAAACAATCAACAAAGAGGGGGTAGGGGTGGACAAATGGGTCTTTCAAGAGGGGGTTTAAGTTCCTTGGGTCGTGGAAAGGGTGGACCTGGTACTAGAGGTCGGGGGGGTTCAGTCACCCCTAGCTCAGCCCCTACAAGCAGTTGGGGCAGCAATGATACCCAACCGACTATAAACCCCAATTTAAGGAATAGAGGGGGGTCTGCACCAGTGGTCACGCGAGGAAGGGGGTCAACAAGGGGAAATTTGGGGCCCCGGGGAGGAATAGGCAGGGGCCAAACAACCACACCAAGCAGTGGGGGAGGAAATTGGGGAAGTTATGACAACGAGGAGGACGAGCCCCAAAATAACAGTTTTAACCAATCACAGCCGACAAGGGGTCGAGGGGCTGGGTTTCGTGGGGGTATACGAGGGGTCGGACAGAGAGGAGCAAGAGTTGCAACGAGAGGTAAATTTTTTTCAAATGGCTTGAATATAGTAAAATACTTATCAGCGGTGTGAGCTGTGGAGTTCAGGATTTTTACACACGACTTTGACACCTAATTTACTGCGTTTAATTTAAACTCTGACAGACTGAATCTTCAATTAATCTAACTTTCTCGTTAACTGAATTTGCTAACAAAAGGCACATACCTTCTTTAAATTCCACCTTCAAAAGTGTGAAATTTCAACTCACTTCTGACTTTGTCTCCTGACTAAGGGTAGCCTGAAAAGGTAATGCTGAATCCCAGGATTTCTAACTCAGGGGTTTTCAAAAATTTTTTGTTATGGGAACCCTGAAAAGGTCGTCTTTTAGTTACAGAGGATAGGATAGGATTTACATATTTACCACGGCCTCTCGTCCGGTTACCATTTCAAGTCGGGTATGGGATTAGTTATATTGTTTGTTTTCGGAAGCATGGACTTGGTGGTGGAGGAAGCCGTAACCGACCAGCGGGACGCCGTAACCATTGAACCACCCAACGACGGCAAGGAGTCCAGCAATCATCTCGCACATAACCATCCCTGCATGGTATTCGAACCTGCGAACCCACGCAGAGTAATTAGAGGTGCGGTGGCGAGCGTATCTTTAACGCTTAGCCCGTTTAGCCACACCGCAGAGCCCTGCTATAAATTTATAAAAACAACACACTGATTATGTTCCTGAGTAAATTAAAATTACTTTATTTAGTGACTTGGATGTATTTACCACTGTCAAATTTTGTTAATGCTGTTATGACTTCTTTAGGCAGTTATAAATTAGTCAAGTCGATATTTTAATTAGTAAACGAATAGCTTATAGAGCCCCTTGGTTTCTCTCACAGAAACCCTTGGGCTTCGTATGGATCCTTGGGAACCTATATACTAGCTCAGGGGTTCTCAACCTTTTCTCTGTTAAGTACCCCCGAGACACGAAACAATCAACGCGAACCCGCAGTAATCGGACACCAAACTGAATTGTGATATACTGACTAACAATTTTCTGCAACAACTGCCAAGCCGTGCATTTCACATTGTTGCGTCACAATCATAACAACGTAAGATCAGGGGAAATGTATGCTGAGTTTCAATTGGTATTTAATTTCCTCTTGTAGTTACTTTATTCGTTAAAGGATATTAAAAAAAAGCAACACACGAAAACTCGACTGTACTCCTAAAATTTTTCTTGTGGACCCCTTGGGGTTTGCGAACTCCAGGTTGAGAACCCCTGTGTAAGTAGCTTATGCCAATCAATACAGCCGTGGTTAAATGTCAAACAGCTGGGCTGCCCGCTATGCCATAATACTTTCGAACGAAAGGTCTATATTTATGGGTATCAGTTTCACACAATTCCAGAATCATTTTACTTACATTGTTCACTGAACTGTGGTCTTTTTATACCACTAGGTGCTCAAAATAATAATTTCAGCAGTGGATTCGGAAACAACAACAACAATGAAAACCAGACGTAAGGTTTTTTTATTTTATTTTTTTAATGCGAAGAGACTCGTCAAAGCGCAAATACCATGGCCATCACCTTACCCCGAGTGTGATAAATAAACAGGGGCGTATTAAGTGGTTAACTTCTTTAAGGGAGACCCCCTTTTTGAAATGAAAAAATAAAAAAAGCGTTCTTCTGTATCATAGATATGCAAATTTTCATAGCTTCAAATGCTTTATAAATCCACATAGAGTAAATAGAGTAGGCAATACATACCAAGAGAGAGCTTCGGTGCATCAGTGGCTGCTGGTTTAGGGCCTTGTTCAGAGTGAAAGCGCCTCGTAAAAAGCACGAGAGACCTCTCGGAAGTAGATATCTCTGATTCTTGAAAGTTAAATTTTGACATTGTCTCAAAATATCTAATTGTTGATTTTCTTTTCAGGTCTAGCTATGGACAAAACCAGGGTGAGTTTGTTCATATTTCCACTTGTGTCGATTCCAATCGATCTAAAACTGACCGCGGCCTATGGCCAATTACGGCCCGCATAAAGATTTAATATGGTTTGCCGAACTTAAGTGAAATAGTTTTACAACCTTCGTTCTAGATACCGCCAATTGAGTGCTCCTGAAGTATGCGCACCAAGATGTCGCATAACCTGAACCCTAACCTGGTACACAACCTGAGTTCAGGTTGTGGCCATCTTGGTGCGCATACTTCAGGAGGTCCGCCAATTGTTACATCATTATCACAGATTAAGTATGTGTATATCCGTAACAATCGAATTGACCGGTATTGGTCCCTTTCGGGCGCTCCTGGCCCGCGAACATCCTCCCGCTTCTAATTTTGTCCCCCGGTCAATCAACTTGAACCACTGATCTAATACAATCAGGTAAATAGCGATGAGGAAATGGATTCTACTTAGCTGAAGGTCGTGGAAAAACTTTGGTACTCCCGGAGTATGTGTGCCAAGATGGCGGACACCGGGACAGAATATGTGTACCAGGTTAGGGTCAGGCCATACTTTCAGTTACAAATACTACGGGAGTCATTTGGCTAGTCCCCGAACTCGTAATAGAACTAAAATATAAAAAAATTGGGATAAAATCATGGCCTAACCCTAACCTGTTACACATACTACGTTCAGGTCTCTTCCATCTTAGTACGCATACTTCAGGAGCGCCAAAACTTTCAGTGCAAAATCCTTTTTTATCAAATTTCTTACTCTGTACAGGTGGAGGCAAAATGCAAGTTGGATTCAACAAAGGGTTCGAAAGGCCGAAACCATACGGTGACAATGTCGGGTCTAATAATCGGTAAGAGGGTTAATTTCTGTTACAGGGTTAATAAGATTTGTCATTGTTACAATTAATTCAATTTTAATACAACTTATTATCAACAAATTTCTAGTCATAGGTTTAGGAGGGCCTGCGGGGCCATTGCCCTCCCCAAATTTTTTTTTAAATGCAATTTTGCGCATTTGCAGTGAAACATGAATCCCTATGCTATTTCCATCACCATTTTACTCTATTCGTGAACGATTTACTGAAAACTGACTTTTCCTGGCAGGCTAACAATGAAGCAAAAGGCACGAGTAATTACTTATCGATCTTAAGATCGGTAAGTATGTTGATAGGTATTTGTTTGTTTGTCTGTTAGACGCACACGAAAGCGAAGTTCAATCTGCTCCAAATTTTGCATGTGTATTCATCATAGCTCGGATCAGAAGCCTATTGATTTTGGATGGATTATGTCTTATAATTAGCGAGTTATGAATTAATTAGTGATGGGACACACGGTGTCACTATGGAGTAAGACCACTGTTCTGGGGATCCCCTAACCTTCGATCGATTGGTCTTCGGTTTCCAACCGAATTCTAGTTGTCGTATTAAGCCATTAAACAAAAAAAACAAAAACAAAAATTTTTTTCTCTTTCCCCCAATTTTGGTTATGCTACGTACGCTCTTATTCCCAGTTGCTGTATCTCACTACAAGCAGTAAATGGAGGCCAGAGTCACATAACTGACTTCAGAGAAATGTGCTGAGTGTACTACTACATAACCTTGAGTACTTATCCACTGGAATGCTTCCATGTTGTGCTATCTGGTCGCAGTATCTCAGACACTGTAATATGAGCGGTTCTCAATTCCGGGGCCCGTGGCCTGTTTTCCAACTGCTGCTTGTCAGTGGCTGCTTGCACAGAATCTTGTTTCGAATGAAAAGTGTGTAAAAAATCGAATAACAAAATTTGGTGCTCCCGAAGTATGCGAACCAAGATGCCGGACATCGGAACGTAACATGGGTAACAGGTTAGGGTTAGGCGATAGTTTTTTTCCAATTTTCCTTATTTTAATCCTATTATCAGTTCGAAGACTAGCCAAGAGCCTCCCGTAGTATTTATACCTAAAATAATGTCCTAACCCTAAGCTAGTACACATATTACATTCCGATGTCCGCCATCTAGGTTCGCATACTTCGGGAGCCCCCAAAATTTTCATTCTAAGAGGAAGAAGGAATTCTTGTTCAGAGAATTTCAACAATTTTCTCTATGACAGGGGCAGAGGTGGCAACTTTACTGGGGCGAGGGGTGCTCGAGGCGGCCAGCGAGGGGGAGCGACCACTATGTCTGGGGGAGGATCAACCTGGGGGAATAACACTGCCAACAAGGAACTGAATAATAATAACATGATCTGGTAAGTCTTGGTTTATTAAATGTAAAAACTTTTATGATTTTAATATTTGTTGTCAAAAGGAAAAAGGCGGTCATTATATATCTTATACCGTATTTGCTTGTTTTGTAGCCCTGGCCCATATTTTTTCAACCAACTCACTAACCGGGCCCTTATTCAAATCGGCCCTTATTCAAGCACGGGCGCTTGTTATTTTCGATCGTTACAATAATTAATATATTGTTATTTCCAGTTCTCAGATATAATTTAAACGAGAATATTCATTTTTTCTACGCACCGCAGGTACAAATCCCCAAAAAAAGAAAAGTTTTGCGACGCCCTATCAATATTGCCCAGTTTGAGAACCATGGTGTTACCTAATCAATGCTATCTGTTATGTGAATGGACGCCTAAGCCGTGAGTGTTATCTACCGGCGCTTAATATTCAACAGCGTTGTGACAAAAGCGCTTCTTATTTCCTATCGTTCTCTACCAATGAATAATCAGCTTTTACATCGTGCGGGTATTCTAGCACCGGCCCTTATTTAATTTTATGTTCTGTTCGCACGGGCGGCTATTCAAACGGGCCCTTAATCAAGATCGGGCGGTAAAACGAGCATCTACGGTATATATATATATCCATCAAGGGGATGGATCACAAAACATTATTTGCATGTATTCACCAAACTTAAATTTTAAAAAAGCAGAAAGAGCACAAATTTTTTTTTGTGTGGTGGGGGAAGGTTATCTTACGGCTATGGGGTAAAATAAATGTCGGTACTCCTGTAGTATTTGTGCCAGGTTAGGGTTAGGCCATAATCTTATTCAGATTTTCTTTTTTTTTAATTTCTATTACGTGTTCGGGGACAGTCTGTGTTAGCCAAGTGAATATACCCTCTGCCCATAGGTTGCAGTCCTTACACAACTTGATGTAAAGTGGGCAAACAAAAAATAAGTTACCTACATTTAGGTACACATACTTCTGGAGCGCCTAATTGTCTGACTTGCCCAATGGTCAAATTGCAATTTAATGTTTTCTCTCCTTAAAATATCTCGAAAGAACATGCAGCTCAAAATGTATTGAAGTTTTTTTTTTAATTCAGTCTAGTCTTGCGTTCTAGAAAAGATAGTTATAAAAAAATGATTTGGATATTTTTCCAGTATATAATAAAATATCAAATAATTTTACACCAATCACTGAAAACATTATTTAAAAAAAAGCATTTTTTATATAAATATAGAAAAACAACTTTTTGGACATCACCACATATATCTTCCCAGAACGAAGCATTTTTGTTTTATTACAATCTCCAACATGGTCTTGCCTTGATAGTTTCGTTAGGTATTAGTCTATTGCCAAACACACAAGTGTAAACCCATTTGGAACGTCTACCGTATTTCCCGGCTGTAAAATCGCTTTTCTAGACCCAATTTTTTTTTGAGGGGGGGGGCATCTTATTAGGCGGGTATGCTTATTTTTTTTTTTTCTGGGGTCGACTTATTTTTCGACGACACCAGACTGGTGTTACCTAACCCATGGACGTACAACGCAGTACTTATCACACCATTTAAGTTATTTCAAAGTTTTTATCAATGGGTTGTTCAAAAGGATTAAAATAACCCTTTATTGTTAAGAATTAATGCTGTGAGTATTATTCTACCTGAAACAAGCGTGACCTGGTTCTAACAATATAAAATTATTGATACATATTAGTGTTTCACTGACCAACAGAGAAGCAATTTTTCTGCCCATCTTTTTGGAGGGCTATATGGAAAAACCCTTTTTTCAGTGCTAAAAATAGGCTTCGTCTTATTTGCCGGGTAGACTTATTCGCTGGGACATACGGTATATATATCCTATAATAAATTATTCCAGTAATCAGTTAATTATTAAAAAACTTAATATTTTGCCACACCTTGCATATATATGTATATAGTTGGGTCTGGACTTTTTAACCAAAAAAAATGGGCACAAATTTGAATTTCACAATTTTTTTTTTCATTCTACATATAATTTATTTTTCTTTGTTTCTGTGTCATTTAATAGGAGGAAATAGGTTTTTCATGATTGTAATGCTATGGACACCTTAATAGATGCGTTAAGCGTTTTATTCGTTCCCCCCCCTTCTCGCTTATTTTTTAACTAATTTCACCAGACTTATATTACTTTTATGCTTTGCCTGTTGAGAAATTTCAGCTCCCACTTGATTGATAATGGTGTATATCAGGGTAGTCCAAGGTTGTCGGCTCCGCGGGCCACAAAATTATGTTTGCATTGTTCGCGGGCCACAATAGTGCCAAGAATAGGTAAACAGTGCAATAGAAAACAAACACTTTTGTTGTGTAAACACATACTTATCAGACATAGCCATACCAGGCTAATAGAATCCGCATTCGATTTTTAGTTTTCTATGATGCCTATATTGTTAGCATATATTCCCGACCAAAAAGATAGAAAGCCAGATAATAATTTAGACTGCCAAGCACATCATTCAACTTTGGTAGTTGCCTTAGCTAGCCATAAAACTAGACAATTCAGTGACATTAGTGATGTAACAATATGGCAAAAAAAAATTCTGAATAATTTTATTACAACACAAAACAACAACACAAACACAACACAAAACACAAAATGCGATTTTTTGATTACTCTCCGAATGTGACGCGAGCCATAGATAATGAAGCGTCGGGCCACATATGGCCCGCGTGCCTGGGTTTGGACCACCCTGGTGTATATATTTGAAGTTATCACTGACATAAGCTCTCAAGACCGTTATGATGTGGCATATTTTTGTCCAACCACCTATACATTATTTTTGGAATACATCTGTGGCTTTGAGGCGGGACTATATGCACAGACACATGATATACGATCAATTTTTGAATTCTTTCATGTTTTTTTTTTTATATTTTTTGTTTCCACTAATTTTTATTTTTTCACCCCCTCACACTGACGATAAATTCCAGGTGCTCAGTTTGCAAGATTTCCATCAATTCTAGTGGAGCGTCCGCACATTACGCGAGTTTGCAGCATAAAACGAAGTCAGGAACTTCATTTAGTGGAACCAGCAATATACAAAAAGTAGGCAACGTTACCCAACAAAATTGGGGGTTGAATAAAAACGGCTCGTTTGGGGGCCAAAACAAACCCCAAAATTTCAACCAATCTGGTGGTTATGGTTCTAATATCAAATCAAGCATTGGTTTCGGCAACCAGAATGCTAACCAGTCATTCGGTAACCAGTCTGGTACCAGTCAAAGTTATGGTAATAAAAATACCAGTACTGGTTATGGTGGTAACCAGTTTAATTCTGGTAACAAAGGTTTTAATACCAATCTTACCAGCTTCAAAAACCAGTCAAATACTGGTTTTGGGGGAGGGAATATTGGAAAAAATTTTGGGGCCCGACCTCGATTTGGAAACCAGGGGGCAAATACAGGGGGTTTCAATGCTTCAAATTTTGGGGCACCGCCGCAGGAATACCCTCCGCCTAGTGGGCCACCACCTCCACGATTTCTGGGCTCAAATTGGGGTCCAGGACGGGGCCAACCGATGCAGGCTGGCCCTCGATTTTAACTGAAGAGCAACTGAAAAACAATTCAGACTTGGGAAGAGATCTTGTTGATTTTTTTGTACATATTTATGTAAATGACATTTTGGGGTTGAAAAAACCTCAATACAGGGGTATCAATTCTCAAAAATTTGGGGCGCAACCGCAAGAATGCCCCCCACTAAGTGGGCCACCCCATTCACAATTTTCTATCCCAAGTTGGGACGCAGGAAGGGGCCAACCTATGCCGACTGGCCCTCGATTTTAACTGAAGACCGAATGAAAAAAAAAATCTCAGACATGGGAAGACCCCTTGCAGATTTTTTTTGTACAAATTTATGTAAATGACTTTTTGGGGTTGGAAATACTTCAATACAGGGGTGGTATCAATGCTCGAAATTGTGCCAGCTGGCCCTCGTTTTTAACTGAAGACCGACTGAAAAACAATCCAGACTCTGGAAGAGAACTTTTTTGTACAAATTTATGTATATGACATTGTGGGGTACAGCTGCAAGAATACTCTATCAATGCCACCTTATCCACGATTTCCGGGCCCAAACTGGGGGCAGGAATGGGCCAACCAATGCAGGCTGGCCCTCGATTTTAACTGAAAAGCAAATGAAAACAATCCAGACTTCGAAAGAGACCTGTTAATTTTTTTGTGCATATTCATGTAAAATGGGGTTTCAATGACTTTGGTTTTGGATAATTTATTAATGCTATAATTATTATTTTGAATTCAAAGTTTAATATCGGGAGACATTAAGAAATTTTCCTGATATCTTAATTCTTATTCATGTTTGAATGGTCATACACTGAGATTTTAATTATATTTTGGGGGGAAATACTGCTTTTTTTGGGTTGTTTTTGGACGGGAAAAGTGCTGACTTGTTTAATTATTCCAGGACAATTTTTTAATTTCCGTTCTTGTTTTTATGTTATATTATTCTGATTCAAAGTGAAACATTGAGAGATATGAGAGAAAAACCGGATTTTAAATATATTAATAATTTGAAAAATTATATTCTGGGAGAGGATGAAACACTGCCGTTTCGGTTTTTGTTTTCCAATGGGAAAACAGTGATTCTAAGATTTAGGGATAATGTTTTTATTTTTTTTATTTTTTTTTAATTTGAAACTGAATATCTGGAAACCTGAAATTTCCTGGCATCTCATTTTTTGAAGTTCATCTTAGGAAAACTGATGATGATCACCCCCCAGAATGATAAAAAAGTGTGTTGTAATTAGTAGATAATTGGTTTATTTTTTCATGATTGTTTGTTTTTATGTTATCCGGAAGGTTTTTGGTATTTTTCAAATGACTTCTGGCCAAATTACATTTTGAGGTAAAATCCTTCATTTTTTTTATATAATCACAATTGAGGAAGATAAGTTCATTTAATTATAACATGGTTTTTATCTGTTACAAGTTTCTAAATTTGAAGTTGAATATCATGGGGACATAAAGAATTTTTGCTAATTCTTGAATTTTGGGGTAAAAATGCGATTTTTTCGATGTATTTGTATGTATGAAAAAGCACTTCCATGGTTTAGGACAGTGGTTCCCAGCCTTTATGGCTTGTGGCTCTCATTCTAGTGATATTTATAGGGTAACAGTGATTGGTTTTCTTGTATTTGAAAGTAAAAAAGACTGCTCTGTGACCGACTCGGGGAAAACAGGCCAACATTTGGCAACTGCTGTTTTAGGATAAAAAGTCTTTTGTTTATGTAATAACTAAATCTCAAATTAAAATTCTGAGATATGTGAAAAACACTGCTTTTTTACTTGATTCACTCAATTTTAGCAAAAATAAAGTCACAGAAAAGTTTTTCTTCCCTCACACCAGAATTTTTCAGCCTGTGAAGAGTTCAGATTGCTTTTACTTGTAAATACATCTGTGTGATTGTTATGTCTAATAAATAATGTTAATTTTAAAGCATTTTGGTGGTCAAATGGGAAGGGTATTGAGCAGTAGGGCAGTTTTATTTTGTGATTTTTGTATTTTGTGATAATTTGAAATAATTCTTTCAAACAAGGAATATTGTATATATTCTAAAATGGGCCGTATTCAATGGCGAATGCAATAGTCGATGAGTTTGTTATGGAAATACAGGAAAGTCGAGATGAACATTGATCTCATTAATTTTCTATTTTATAGTTTCCAGGAATTAAATGTGATAATTCAAATGCTTGAAATGATAATTTTTCAAATGAAAAACTGTTTAAAAATGTTGTTGAGTCGATGTCAAAAAATATGATCCAAATTCCTAACCAGTTTTCTGAAAAATATTCACTTTGTTACTGAAAGCAAGCATCACTAGTTTGACAAAAATGTTGCAAAAAGCTCGCGAGGTTCTTCGAACTGTTCCATGAGACCTGGATTGAAATTGCGACTAAATTGGTTTTTATGGCGACCTTGGCAATACTTCAGCAACTCTGGGTCATAAATTTGTCTCCCAACTGGCAACAAATGGGTGGATGGAGCTTGCTATCAAAAAAGGCAGACATCGCCTGACATTTTTTTCTTATCAATTCCACCTATGTTGGTGTTCCGCGAGGCGATATGAAAAGCAGTTCCGTGGCAGAAAAAAAAGTTTTGAAAACACTGAATAATATACTTAATAAAAATATGGAATATCAAACATAATTAATTTCGAACTATTTCCAATATACCTGGGAAGTGTATGATTATTGAGCTATTTTTTTTGGACAAATTTTGTTTTTGATTGGATTAATGTTGTTGAGTGCTGATCCACCTGCATTTTGTCACTCCTACCACAGTCAAAATGGGTGATCATCGACTTGATGGTCTGCAAGACTTTAAGGTATGGAATCTTATTTTATATATTTTTTCTTTATTATGGCGAGATCGGATGATTTTTTTTGTTAAAAAAGTATGTAGGGTTAATAAAGATTAATTAATCTTCTTATTCAATTTAATTTTTCAAAAACTTTTTGACTCTGAACTGATCCATGAGTCAGCACTAACCTTATTTGATTTTTTTTGACTGGATTGCAACCATGAATCAGCACTAATGACACCATAGGTAAAATTAAGAAGTTGTAACTGATATTGGCCATCAAGATTTACGTAGTGAATTTTGCTTTTTATTTCATTTTGTAATGATTTTTTTGACAACAAAAACGCAAATTTCTTGTAAAAAATTTATTTGAAAAGAAAATTTTGTGGCCTAATAAGATCCAGCTTTGAGTGAGAAATGTGCCAAGTTATTCGGTAATTTTTCAAAGTTGACAAAGTAATATTTAAATTTAAAATAATTGGGTGGAAATTTTCATTTTGGTCTGACTAGTTCACAGAGCTTTAAGCGAGGGTTATTTTTTCAACAAATTGTTATTTTTTGCCCAAATTAGTCTTGTTAGTGGCTTCTTTCGTCACACAAGGCTTTCAAACCTTCAGCATTTGATGAACTGGCTATATCTCAGTACTTGCCGTTGTCAAATTAAAAGGGCCATCAAGATTGAGGTATGTAATTTTTTTTGTGTTCAATGTCGATTATAAGTTTTTTTTAATTTATCTCCATTTTACAAAGCATAACGGTAATTTTGATGTAAGGCATCCCTAACGTTGCAAATAATTGACCAAATTTTTTTTATTAGTACCGGTATATCTTGTCCTATACCAGCGTTTCTCAAACTGTGTTCCGCAGAACAGGGATCAAAATTGCGATTAAAATGGTCGCCGTGGCGATCTCGGTCGTACTTCATCAACTCTAGGTAGCAAATTTGTCTCCAAACTGGGCTTGCTATCTAAACAGGTGGACAGGACAGCCTTGTCCTCGTATGGAGAGCATGAAATTTTCGTTAACTGTGCAATATCATTAACCGTCGGCCTAATTTTTTAATTGTCAAGTTTACGGGGAACTTTTTAATTTTACCATAAGCTAAATTATTTGGAAACCACTATCAATTCTACCTTTTAATTCTTTTGGTGTTACGGGGCGAAAAATGTTTGAGAAACGCTGTCCTGTACTATTCGATTCTGAGGTGGCTATTGAGTCGTATGAACTCTAACTGTTTCACTGCCTTTGCTATGATCAAACTCATATAAGAGGGGTAACTGCTAATAAAGATAAACTTGCTGTTCCACGGAACAGGAATCAAAACTGCAACTAAATTGAGCAAATCACCATATTTAATGCTGATAATTAGCAAGTCTTTAGACTGCTTGCGAAACTGACTACATACCACACCTATCGAACTACAGTATAAAATTTTTGGTCCACCAAGGTGTGAAAATGCTCATTTTATATTTACCTTCATATTGTTTTTGGCTGACTGAGCAGGAATATTTTTTTCTTTAGCTCTATCACTGGGTTATCCATTTTTTTTTGTATCACTAACAATTTTTAAAAAATCATTTTTTTAAAAATATTTTAGTGTTTATTTCAGCAAAATTACATTTTTATAAAGTTGGTCCTTGCGGCCATGCTACAAACCATATTTTTTGAATGGTAATCACTGAATTGAGGCCCATCAAGACTAAGGTATGAACCTTTTTATATCTTTGTTTTTGCATTGATTTTCTTTTTTTGGGCTGATCAGAGTCTGGAATATTTTTCCTTTTTTTGGAGAATTGGTAACTTTATTAACAAACAGTTTATATAAATTCAAATGCAACCTTAGGACAGTTTTCCAAATACTTCAGCAACATTTTTAGCCTTTTTTTTATTTTGTTTGCTATTTTTTCCAGATATGGGTTATTTTTAACTTGGGTCAAGCTAATGAAAATAATTTTTCTGCAAGATTGCATATGTGGTATTTTGGGGGTAATGAATAGGAGATTGTTGGAACATTTTTCGCACTTTTTGCGATTCAGATTGCTTTTTATGTTTTGTGCAAATTTCTCATTTTTACTCAAGTTATCTTGAGCATTGAACGTCTTAGCATATAAATAATATGGGTATGATATTATTTTTACGATGGTCCGAGCATTACAAGCAGAGCAGAGACCAACCAAACCTAAGGTATGAGCGTTTTTATACTTTATGTAGGATCGTCATGTACTGTTTTTGTAAAAACACGAAAATGCCAAATTTGTTGTGTGTATTTTTTTTTTATGACCTTTATTTTTTTTAAAGTAAACTTTGGGGACATTTGACAGTGTTTTTATAATACAGTTGTTGCAATTGAGATTTTATTTTTTTTTTAATTGTCAAAATATAATTAAGAATTAGGCAAGTACATTTTTTTTCAACTTTTTTATTTTTTTTTTATTTAACAGTCAGTGTGGAGTAACGGTAACTTCAAACAGTTTATATAAATCCAAATGTAACCTTGGGAGGGTTTTCAAAATATTTCTGCAAAATTTTCGGCACTTTTTTTAATATGTTTTTAAGTTATGAAATATGCATAAAGTTAATTGCTTTGAATAAGCACTTCTAAAATTTAAAAAACTTTTTGTAAAACAATTAAAAAGACTTTTGAATGAAGCCCAGTGTACAATGGATTGTGTAGGCCACGTCGAATCAAAAAGAAACTGCCCCTTCGAAAATATTATCTTTACATGTATCAATGGTTGCTCATACAGAGCCTCCCCATTCATAGTGCAAAAAGGTGCGAAAAAGAGTATTTTTCAATTTTTTTTTTACTTTGTATCAGACTTCTGATTTCAATTTTTTTTGTCAACTAGGTAAACAGATAGAAACAACCAAAGCCCTGAAGATAATTTGTTTTGAGAAGCTCCAGTTCAAACCAAATTGGATTGGATTCAACCGCACGAGAATGAATTAGAAAGGTAAAGTATATATTATCATATTTGGCCCGTGGATTAGTAAATTATATTGTTTTTTATACAATGCATTTAAATGCCTTTCGCTCCGACCAAATTCCTCAACTCTGCAGATGTTCTGAAACAGTGGTTCTTGAACTTTGTAAGCTGTGCCCCCCTTTTTAAAATTTGTCAAGTTTTGCGTCTCATTTCAAAATTAACTAGCTAACGATAATCTACGAATAACAGATATTGAGGCGAAAATATGTTACATTCAAAAAGACATTGAAAAATACTTGGATGGAACTTGAATATTCAAAGTAAAGAAATGTGAATATCCAAAAAAAGAGGGGTAAGAAATAATCTAAAATTGTGGGTCGCATTTGGAACGCAAGGTTGCACAACCCCTGCTTTAGACAGAGCAAAACCATTCGTTTTCACTGAGCAGGGTTTTGCTGCACTCAAATCATTGCGACTAAATTCACATGATAAAATCCATGTAAAACAATATATGTCATGTATATTGCTAATAAGAACTTGCAAATTCAATTTGGTTACATATGTTGAAACACACTATTTGAATGATATTGATTTCTCAATATCTATGATGTCGAAACTAATCTTATTGTGAATGTCCAATACTTAAATTAAAGTGAATTCATCTGGTAATTTGTTACACATACTGATACTGACACAAAGGGTTAAGATGCAAGACATGGTCTGTTTCCTAATTATTGTTTTTAAGAAGTAATCTTTCTCTACAATTATTCCATGGGACACAATATTTCAACTGAAATTCTGTTTATTTAAAAACATGGGAACACTTTTTTATATGGGAACGCTTGTGTCCGTACATTTGTGTATTTCTCTCTTTTTGTTTCAGTCAATAAAGATGAAGGAAATTGATTGATGTCCACCAATTCTTCAAAAAACAGGCTTGCAGTGATTCAAAACTTGACTGGTGAGCCGTTTCTAATCTCTGTACTTGGGACTTATTACCGGCAGCAACGTAGGGAAAAAGCTCATAAACTCTATTTCGCGGGTCAATTCATCAAAGTTTTGCAACAATCAATGAAATTCTATTCAGATGACTGGAGTTACTTCAGTGTTTGATAAATATTGATCCTGGTCAATAACGCTAGCTTTCCCAACACCGATTAGTGCAGGGTTTGGTTAGCCATTTTCAAAAATTAATACACATGTATATA